AGCACCCACGAACCCGGCTCTTTTCTTTGCAACAGGGACTGGCGACGGGGACCAGCCCCTCCGGGACCCCGGCTTCTAGGAAAGCTCGGTGCTGTGCCCCGGCCGCGCCGCCGTCCCACGCCGGCGTAACCTTTTGGGGGCTGTTGGTGGAGGGGGGGGAGGGACGTGGGCTGTGCTATAGATAACCCCCAGCGCCGGGCAGAGCTGCCGGGGCTCCGGAGGGTGACAGCTGATGAACCGCGGCGGCATCCGATGATCTCAGCTGGATTTTCGGCTGCCTGAGGCGGTGGGGCCGGGAAGGGGCTAAATTTAGCCCGTCCTGTTGCTGCGGGTGGCTGGGTGCTTGCTGGTGGTGCCTCCTGGGGAGCCCAGGAGGTGGGGGGGGGGCTCCTTCCCCCCATGAGGCTGGGGCACCCCTCTCCTGGGGCACCCCTTGCCTGGAGCACCCCTCTCCCGGGGCATCCCTCGCCTGCACGGCTCCTGCAGCCCAGTTCATGGTGGTTAGACCGGGCTGGCAGCAGCAGAGACCCGGGCTTGCGCCGGTGAGCACCAGCCCATGCTCTTGGGCATCACCCAGATGGAGCTGGGCGGTTTAACCCGGGGAGCAGCCGGTGGGGGGGGGCAGGGTGTGGCTGTCGGGATGCTTCGGGGTGTCAGCCCCCTCTGACGGCGTGTCCCCTCTTCTCCCCCCAGGCCTTGTGCGGCTGCACCGTGAACATTCCCACCATCGACGGGCGGGTGATCCCGCTGCCCTGCAACGACATCATCAAGCCGGGGACAGTGAAGAGACTGCGCGGGGAGGGGCTGCCCTTCCCCAAGGCCCCCAGCCAGCGAGGAGACTTGATCGTGGAATTCAAAATCCGCTTCCCGGACAGAATAGCTCCCCAGACGAGACAGATCCTCAAGCAGCACCTCCCGTGCTCCTAGGGCCCGGGGACTCTCCTCCAAGCAGCAATACTCCAAACGCACGTGCCGCAGCACTTGGCCTGCACGGAGCAGAGGTGCCACAGCACTTTCAAATGCAAAAAAAAAAACCCCTCACACCGCTTTCCTTCCCCAAATCCC